AAACTCTTTCCCATAACCCACTGGAAGTTCTTCTGTTTCCTTGACCCACTCATGCCAAACCCCAGCTGACTTACCCAACACATCATAACTTCTGTTGTGTGTCAACTACACATCAACAGGATCATTCTTAATATGTGATTCTACTGCAATCAGTGCAAACAAGAGTCTGGCATAGAGGAGGGACCCAATACAATCAAGATCAATTTAATGATTCCCTAGTGTGTGAGAGATGTTGGATCTGGCAATGCAGATGGGTGGTATGAATAAGAAAGGGAAGGTCCTGACTCTCAAGGATCTCTGAATCTTCAGGGAAGTAGAAGTAGACGCCTTAGCAGACGCTCCCATGTCAGATGCTATGGGGTGCGTGGAGGGCGCTATTCACAGTGGGTGAAGGGATAGGGCGAAGCGCATGTCACCAGCACTTGGACAGAAGGCAAGGTGTCTAGGGTAGAGAGGGAACAGACAGCCAACAGCTCCCACTGCTGTTTCCCAGGGCTGAGGGGCTGGAAAGCAGAACACGATCCCCACTTTCTCTGAGGAGCCCTGGAAGAACTCAGGGTGCAGGCAGCAGCGGCAGCAAATGGTAAGAAGAAATGGTGGGAAGAAATCAGAAGAGCTTCATCTTGAGCCCTGGAAGAGTCCTTCCACCCATCACCCCATATCTTCCACCTACTCGGCGGAGTCCTTTCCCTCCTAGGTCCCATGACCTGTGCTTCATTTGACCTTTTGATGCCTCCCTAAAACCTGGAAAGTCATATTCAGTGCTTCCAGCTCCTGTTGCCTTTCTTCCTCCATCGGCTCTGATATTAGCTCAGTGAGTCTCTCACCTGGACCTCAGAGCCCGCTCTTAGCCAGGAGGGATGTCACCAGTCAGTGGTGTCAGGTCCCAAGATACCCTGATTTCCCTTCCCTGCATTCTGCCCCAGGCCTGCCCACCCTCATCATCTTTGCCGTGCCTTACCCAGTCTGTGCCCAGCACCTCCCCCATGATCTTAAGGCCAGGTGATGTGATGCAGGAGGCCCTCTACAGCATCCCTGACTAAACATGTCCACCCACTGGGAACTCATTGCCTCTTGAGTCAACTCTTTCTATTATGGCACAATTCAGTTATAAGAAACTTCTTCCCTGCATTAATGAGAAAGTTACTTTGCTGCAACTTCTATGCATTGGCTCTGGTGTGACCTTTAGGGCCACCGTGAATAAGTCTAACTCATCTTCCACAGCTTCATGGCTAAGCATGCAGACAACCAAGATTCAAGTCCCTGCTCTGCCATTCACTTGCTAGGTAGCGCTGGACGATCTCCTTACCTTCCTCGGCCTCCATTTCCTCGTCTGGAAAATGGAGGTGATAACAGCACTTACCTCATAAGAGTTATAGCAAGATTGAGTGAATTAATAGATACAAAGCTCTTAAGATAGCAACTGACACATAATAAGTGCTCAGTAAATTCTATTATCTGAAGAGAGCTGTCTTATGTCCTGCTTTAGTCACTCCCTTTTTCCTTAACATCCTTTTAAAAATACACTTCACATAGCATGAGTCCTACATCCCTCCAGCCTTTGTTTATCTTCCATTTTAGTTTGATTCACACTCTCATGATGCCACCCCCACTGTAAAGTGGAGTCACTGTTCCACATGACCTGGAAGCTGTTCTTCTACTAATGTGGTGATGACTAACTTTGATGAAGCTGTATTACCCAGGGGCTCACAGTGACCTTGTGGACAGCTCAAATCCCAGGGATGAGTGCTCTAAGAAGTTCTCCCTCATCTTCTACCTGTGCAAGTGCTCCAAGCTCCTCTGCACCCTCTAGACTTTCCAGGTATGCAATCTGTATATTCTCATGTGTTACCTCCTCCCTACTCCCTAGGCTCCATAGCGGCTCTTTACTTAAAAGGTGCCTAGTCTTAAAGCAGACCAGGTAATCTTCCTCTTCAACAACACCTTGCAAATTGAGCACACTATCATTGTAGGTTTTGCTTGAGTTGTGTCTGCCTTATGGTGAACCTTTGCCTGTCTTCCTGTCCTCTGTGAAGCATTGACTTTAGTCTATGCAAGAGTAAGGTCTTATCCTTATTCTATCTATTCCTTCCACATGCTCAAGGCTCATAGGGCAGTGGCCTGGCCTGTGGTGTTTTCTATGTGTCTCACAGAGAGCAGCACGTGAGCAAATACGTGATGTAGCACCTAGGAGGATCTTGTGGTCCTGCTTCTGCTTGTGAGTCTCTGTTTCCTCTCAGCTTCCCCACTTGGGGACATCCTGTTCCTCTGGATGCTATGGATGAGGGCCCGACAGTCTGAAAGACGCCTGGCCAGGCAGGGAAGAAGTGAGTAGCTCTGACGCACCCTACTTCCCTCCCCTCTCCAAACTCTTGGCTATTTTTTTCTTTATTTTCCTTCCTGTGTTGAAAGAGCTATGGGGCCTGGACCATGGTAGGGTTTCCTGGGGACATTCCATAAATTCCTCATGGGCTGTTTCTCTGGAGAGGGTGGGGGCAAGTGGCTGGGTAAATGGGAGGCCAGCGGGAACCCGGGTGTGAAATCAGGTACCTCAAAGGAGTGTGGGTGGAAAGGAAGGGTAAGCTGCATAGAGGAGGAAGGAGGGGTATAATGAGCTCATAGCAATAGTCAAAGAGAGGACAAGAACAGTGAGAAAGAGCAGGCAACTCACAAGTTGGCACAAGCTGTGGGTGACCACGCCCCCAGCCTTGCTCTTGAACCCACTGACTTGCTTCCACAGTGACTTGTCTGCTAGGGCTCCTATAGGGCTCAGAGAACTTGGCCAGCCTGGGTGTGTGGCTTGGAAAGATGCCAAGGAGCCCCCTGCATGTGCTGTGTGAGATGCACAGAGATATGGAGAGGATCAGCACAGGGGTCCCTTGAAGACGGGCTGGGTCATTCTTTCTTTATTCGTTCCCCATTCACCTCATGCATCCAGCCAATGCTCATTCCTTAATTCAGATCCAGGGCTAAAGAGAGTGGAGATGGTAGCCCCTGGCTGAACTCTGTAGCAAGCCTGAGCCTGAAAATGATTCCTAGCCTCCATCCCTGGGCTCCACAGCTGCTTCTTTAAGTAAAAAGGGTGCCAAGTTGGGGGTCAGGGCAAGAAGTGACTTGTCCTAGGTCTTTCTGAGTGAACAAGTCAAATTTCTTCCCTAAGAATCATTTTCCCTGCTGAGAAATGGGGGTATTGGGCAGCTATTAGGCTCTCTTAAGATTTCTTATTCTCAACAGTTTTGGAGCCCATCCCATGAGTGAGCACTTGGTGAAGCAACTAAGGAGGAAAGAGAGAATAAGTATGAAGAAAGCATGATTTTCCTCGAATAGAACTTTCGAGAGAATGAAGAAGACAAGAGACTCACACAAATAGAATCTGTACCAGCAACCAACATTGAGAGAAAAGGACAGGGGAAAGCTCTGGTCACCAGCCCGTGGTGGCTTCTACTGCTCCTTAGAAAGGCTTGGTGCAATTTAGAAAAAGGTGGCCCCTTTGGGCAGAGGAACTAGGAAGAGAAAGCTCCACTGGGCAGATGCCTAAACCACAGAGTAGATGGCAGGACAAGGAGAGCTCAGGCTGAAGTTCAACCCCCACGAGGCCTGTTGGCCCAATGCCGTGTACCAGAAGAAATTTTCCCAACTAGATGTTGTAACCCTGGCTGAGAAGGGAAGTGGCCAGCCTCAAGGGTCCAAGAGGAGCTGTGTCCAGTAGAATAGGCCACTTTTCGATCTTAGTGAACAAACAGGACAAGTCTTTCCTGTTCCCATTTTGAGAAAGCAAACCAAAGGACTAAGTTTGTCCCCTCTGAAATGTACTGGAAAGTCAAGACAGGGTCCACAGCCCCAGGCAGAGTAGAGCACACAGAATAAGAGTAAATAGGGTCCTCCTTTTCCAAGAACCAGAGAGTTCCGGAAGGTTCAGCACCATCTCATAAGCCCAGACCAGTTCTTGTCACCTTCTCTGTGGTGAAGCAGAACAAGCAGAACATGGAAATTCTTCCTCAGGCTCTCTCCCAGCCACCCTCCTTCCACATTCCAGACAGCAGCCCTCCTAGGTCTCCGAATGGATTAAGAGGAAGGAGCTCCAGGGGTAATGATGTCAACATCAAAAGGTGAGACACAGGAGGTTCTGCATGTGCACTGACCCACAGGTGTTGGGACTAAGGAGAGGTAGCGGGAGGTAAACTGGGAAAAGGGGATTAGCTAGGAGCGGAAAGAACGTAGCTGCTATAATCCCACATAATGAACCGGATTGTGCTCCCTGTCCGCGCCCTAAGCGCTTGACAAGCAGGTACATGCTCCTGGCTTCAGCTTGCTGCACCAGAGGACTCCCATGCTGCCAGCCTCAGACAGCCTGTTCCCTCCAGCTGGCAGAGGCACCCAGGGAGGCACGGGATGAAATGTCTACTTCCTCCAAACTGCTCAGATCTGAGTGAGGAGATGGGGAGGGAAAAGTCTGCGACTGCAGGAAAAGACAGACGAATGGCCTCTCGCCTGGGCTTCACGCACCATCAGAGAGCAGCAACTGTCCTTTGCCCTAGCTCTTCAGAATTCAGACCCATAATGTGCTTCAACCAACTTCTTTCAGTCCTCAAATGCTCTTGACCAGCACAATCGACTCTACAAGTCCTAGCGAGGGGTTTATAATGTGGGTTATTCATAGCATACATACTAACAAAAAAAAAAAAAATCAGTTCTAGTTGATTTGAGAATGAGGAGTGATTTTTTTTCCTCTTTAGGCAAGGTATTGTCCCCATTTCTTGAGGTTTGGCAATACTGAAATATGTTTGTGTTCCCTAGACATCCACTGACTGATGGCCAGAGGACACAGCCAGAAGATGAGCCACAAAATTGACCCCTGCCTATCTCCCTTTCTACCCTGTTTCCCCCAAGAAAATGAAGAGGTGTTTGTAGTTAAATCTTTGCCAACAGCCACCTTCCAGAAAAGACCCTCTGCTGAGGGGTGGAAGGGCATCAGAGCAGTCAAGCTCACAGACTCTTACCTTCTTCAGTTTGCCACTCTTGGTGCCCACAAAGACCACACTGTAGCCATTGTAAACGTAGGAGGCCACGGAGGTCATACGGTCCCGACTGGTGGTGTAGAGGGTCAGCCCCTCCACTGGAGTGGAGCCTCCGAGGGGCTGATTGATGTCCAGTCCACAGAAGTTGTCATCGATGGGGACCGGCTGGAAGGGAAAGGAGTTGGCATGAAGAACAGTGAAGACATGGCAGAGTCACTTCAAATTATCCTCATTTTTAGTCGCCAGCCAGAGGCCACTCAGCCTCACACAGTCACAGGCATGGGGCTCCAGGCTGTAACACATGCTGTGAACCAAAGTTCTCCACAAACTGAGCCACAAATTGCATGCATGCTGGCTCTGGTGGCATCACATCATGAGCAGTCATCTTCATTCACCTGGAGTCACCTGTACCCACCCTTCTGCCAGGAGAAGCAGGCTCCATTTGTAAAGTTTATTGCTTGCATTCATTTTCTTGTGATTTTAATGTCCCTGTGGACCACGACATTCTGTGACACTCTTTCTATTTTAGACAAGGGTCTCCTCAGTGGACATTAACCCTTAAGGTAACATAAAAAAATTTCTACATCCTGGAGTCTCTCTCTCTCTCTCTCTCTCTCTCTCTCTCTCTCTCTCTCTCTCTCTCAAGCTCATGTTCCTTGAGACACATCTTGAACCACTCAACTCTCATTGCTATCTGCTACCCTGGGAATACTTGGCAACTGTCAAAATAATATTGGACACGGCCTTCTACTTTGGAACAAAGTAATCAACCAAAGTCTTAGTTTCTTCATTTGGAATAATATCTTCCCATTTTTTTTTCTGGTAGAATGATGGAGGAACAAATGAAATAATGCACTTGAAAGAATTCTGCTAAGTTATATAACCATTTCCACTATTGTACATTATAGGTTAGTGTTTGGGAAACAAAATTTAAAGATAATTTTTTCTACCACCAACCTTTTAAAGGGAGTGGTGGTGTGCTGGTATAAAGAGTATTTGTCGGGAGGGACTGGGTCATCTTTGAAAGATCACCTTCAGCAAGTAAAAAAAGAAAATCTGTGGGACACAAGTGGGGAGACCTAGATCCCTGTTCTACTGCTAACTGGCTGTGTCATCTCAGGTCAGCAGCATCCTATTTTGGAGGCATTAAAGGGACCATGAAATGAATGATTTTTAACATTTCTTTCAGATAAGGAATGAATGAATGAACGAATCAATCAACCAATCAAAGAAGGAAAAGAGGTCATGCCTGGCATGAGCTGGGCCCTGATGGGTACCCTGAGACACCCCAGTTGTCTGCACCTCATAGAATCTTGTGGAAAGACTGCAGAATATGGGTCTGAAAGAGGCCTGAATCTTGGGGCAGCTGCTTCTTCCGGGTCTGGAAAGGTGGAGGAAAAAAAGAGAAGACAGAAAATGGCCATCTGGAGAAGCCCAGAAAGCCTCAAGGAGATGCTTGCCCTGTATTCCCCTCAAACGCCTTTTCTCACCCTCACCAGGGAAGAGCGGCTGACACATCACTTGTTGACAGCCTCATTTCCTTGGAATAATTGGTTTATAAGCTACAGCATGTGATTTTTTTTTTTTTTAAGCCAGGGACTTCCCTTCCATTCTTTTCTCCATTCCCAAGGGAATACAGACTTATTTATTTCTTGTGGTTCCTTGGTGTTTTGTAGAGATCAGCTGCTCTTGCTACTAGTAGGAACGATGGAGCAGTGGTGTATTCTTTAGGACAGGAAATCAGTTTTTAGGTTAAGCATAACCTTGAACTCTGGGCAAAATGGAGCTCCCACACAGAGGAAGGAATGAGCTTCCCGGGAAGAAGACGCAGCAGTGACATGCTGGTGCCAGCCCACAAGAGATGACTGTGTGCATTTCTGCATTCGGTGACATTGTGTTGGTGCTTGAAGTCAGCCATGGTGGGAATATTTACACCATGGGAAACTGGCAAATGCTGCCAACGAGGGCTTTTTCTCCCTGCTCTGCCTGCATAGAGCCAGTTATTTACTATTTACCAGTATATCACTGGGCCAGTGATAGAAACTTCTAGCTCTCTACAAAGGCTGATGGTGTCGTCAGTCACTATCTTTTACACTATCTGTTTCTCCTTTTCATCCTACACAGTAGGCAGTAGCTGCGCTGGTAAAAGTTAGCCGATCCACACTGTAGTCCTGTCTTTATTACTACCCAGAGGCATGACCTTGATATTACATGTAGACTCTCAGCCTCAGTTTTCTCCTCTGTAAAGTACAAGGACTAGACCAGTGGTCATCAAACTTCCTTTTGGCTCCAAGTCCTTGATTTCATGACTTTGGCTTTTTTCCTGTATGTTCTCCAGAAGCTTGTAAAACTACAGAGTCTGGGCACAGCTGTAACTATTGAGAAATAAGATACCGAAGCAAAACCAAAACAAAACCCTGGTAATTGTGGATTTCTCTACATTCTTCCTGACTCTAGAATCTCTAGCTTCGTAAATGAAACGGTTTGTACTGAGGCCAAACCCCTGGGATTGGCTGGCATTTCTTTCTCTCCTCTATTTCTTTCTCAACACATTGTTAGATATTCCCAACCACCTGATGCTCCTTTACTTTTGCTCAAAATGATGAGACCTTGAAGTATGACTTTCCTTAGAGGCGGGGCGGCTAAACAGAGCTTGAACTCAAAAGTCATTTGGAAGGAACTGAATTCAAACTCCTGCTTTATTGTTTGGAGTTATATGGATTCAAGAAATTTGTGTAGTCTACTGAGTCTTTGTTTTTCCATCTGAAAAATGGAGATGAGAATTCTTGCTTGGTAGGGTCATTGTAAAAATGAAGTGAGCTAACACATAAATGGCCCAGCACAGCCTTTAGCATATGGCTGTTATTCCACGAGTGACAATCCCTTTCCTCACACCTTTTCTGAAGGTAAAGCTCAAATTCTTGACCTGAAAGTTCGATGGTAGTTCAGAGATCATTTAAAGCTAAATTCTGGGATTACAGAATCTCTGGTTGATATTTAGCCCCGTCAAAGACCACCAAAATACCTCTGGATCCCCAGTTCTGGGTTGCTTTTGATAAGACAGACCTGTAAGGGACACTTCCTCTTGCATACCTGCTGTTAAGGCCACACCTAGAAGGTATGACCCAAAGGCTGAGGGGTGGAAGGTGAGGGGCTATTCTCTCTGAGGTTTCTGGTCCCTCTGCCGTTACCTCTCTACCACTGCCTTTGCTGTCCTTTGGTCACTAGCCCGGGCTTGTCTCTCTGCACCACCACTGGAGCAAAGCAGGGTGTCGTCTTCCTCTTTCCTCTGGCTCAGAAGCATGCAGGAATCAGCAGTTTCCTCCTGACAAGACCCACTCTGGATTATGGGAACCTGGCTGGACTCTGCATGGAATTAACCCTTGCATCTCCTCTCTGCTTCTCCTGATAGGTTAGGGACATTGATCATAACGTTTCAGTTGGAGATTATCTGGTCCAGCTTCCTCATTTTATAAAAGTAAGATAAGTAAGCAAATAACTGGCTCTTTATTATTATGATTAGAATTAATAATCATAGCTGCCCACTTGTTAAATAAATGCTCATTATGTGCAAGGTATTGTACTGTGCATTTTATGGGCATTTTCTCTTTGATCCTCATAATAACCATGAAAAGGGGGTAATATTATTTCTATTTTGAAGATGAAAAAAAATTATGGCTCAGACCAGGTACCTAACTTGCCCAAGGTCACATAGGGCATAAGTAGTAAAAGTAATTTTTAATCTCATCTGCTGGACTTCAAAGCCTATTGCCTTAACCCTTATCCTAGAGGATCGAATACATTAAGAGAGGAACAGAAGCCTAGCTGGGACCTGGTCTGTATTCTTTCTCCAGAAGTGGGTTTTGGATGTAATAGCAGGCACCCTCAATTCCAAGTACTCAGAAGACAGTTGTGTGCCTCAGTCTCAGGTTATTTCTCCAGCTGTAGATGCAGAGACCAAAGCCCTTTGCACAGAAAACTATTTTTAGCACTTGACATACCCTCCAACTGTTAACTAACATGCCAGGCATGGTGTTAACGTTGTCATATATTTTCTCATCTGATCATCCCATGAGATGGACAACATGCTCCCCATTTCACAGATCAGAATCTAAAGATGTTAAAGTTACTTTTGAAGCAGGAAATAGAACAGATAAGATTTGAACCCTGGTTTTGGTTACAGAAGCCCAAACCCTTGATCACTACATTTTGTCAGTTTCCCCCCCGCCCTCTCTTTCTCTATCCCTTTCTCTCACTAGATTATGAGATCTGAGAGAGTGGTGATCATGTTTTTTTTTTTTTTTTTTTTTATGTTTGCATCTCCAGTACCTAGAACAGTGCCTGGAACTCAGATGATTTTCAATACCCTTTGTTAAATGGATGGAAAGATGGTAGATGAATGAATGATAGAAGGGTATAGAGATGGAGAGAAGGAAGGTTACAGGAAGGGAGGGAAATAGGAGAGATGGATGAATGGATGGATGGACAGATTAAGAGATTAAGGGAAGCAGAAAGGGAAGAGAAATGGAGAGATGGAGGATAGATGAATGGAGAGAGAGGGAAGGGGGAATGGATGGATGCAGGGATAAGTGGATGGAAGGGATGGTGGATCACTTTAATGGTAGCATCCTGACTCTCTGACAAGTGCTTTATTTATTTGTTTGTTTGTTCATTTTTGTCTCTGATTTTCTTGTCTCCGCTGTCTTTATGTTTAAATCTTGAGGACAGCCTTCTCATCCTTTGCACGGGCTCCTGATTTTTCTTTTTCAGTTTTCAAGCTATCTAGTTTGATTTCTTTCCTTCTCCTCTGACTCAGCTACCCAGTGCCCCCTCACTTGGCCCCCACGGTGGCCTATTGCCTGCATGTACACATGGGGTCTCATTCCCTCTGTCCAGCCTCACCTACTGCTCTCTCTTACTTAGCTAATCTGGCTGCAGTGGCCTCCTTGCAAACACTCCAGACATGTCCTGAATTCTTTTACTTGCTACCCCCTCTCTGGAACACTTTCCCCAATACTTGCATGGCTCCCTCTCTTCCCTTGCTCCGTGTTTGAGGATTCTCAGTGAGTCAATCCTCTCAGCTAATTACTTTCTCCCTCTCCCTTGTTTGATTTTTTCCCCCTACAGCAATGATCATCATTTCACAGATTGCAAATTTATGTGTTACATCTTGTTCTCTAGTAGGTAAGCTTCATGAGGGCAGGGAGCTTGATTGTACGGCTCACAAGCACATAAAACAGCACCTGGAATATACTTGGAATTATTTAATGAACTGACAAGTCCCAAGTATCTGGGGTAAGCAAGACCTTGGGTTATGGGTTTGATACTACTTGATAATCTGAGCCTAACAATCTTTCTCATTTATAGCCCCTGGAAGTTTGGAAAAGGGGTGTGCAGAGGGACATGGAAAGCAAAGGCAGAGCCCCATGGTGAACAATGGGGAGCAGAGGGGAGGGGGCACCTCCTTACCGCTTTGGTGCACTGCACATCTTTCCCCAGCAGCCAGTTGAGCTCCAAATTGCCCTCGCCCTGGTAGCAGGACTGCAGGCGCTCCTTGATCTGCAAGTTGATGGCCCGGATGGGGAAGGCACAGAGGGCGGAGTCATCGGGTGGATGGTGATACTGCTTCTGCCCTTTGGAGAAGATGGCGAAGAGCACATCATCCTGGCTGCTGATGTTGAAGGCCTGGGCTAGCGCATCCCCGGGCTTGGCGAGGTAAGCAGCCTGCAGGAGGCGGTATTCCACCCCTGCACGTGTGCAGCCGAATGGCAGAGACACGTAGGAGTGGAACTTGGGGTCATCCTTGCAAAGACGCACGATACGGGAAGTGTAGAAGAGGTCCCCGGCGGAATTGATGGCCACACCCTCGGGGGTCTCGGGCTGGACAGTGAGAAAGTAGACGAAGCCCCCACTGGCGAAGCCATAGATGTAGAAGATGTCAAAGTGGGAGACCAGGGCCAAGGTGTCCGAGGGGATCTTAATGAGGGAGGAGACAAAATCGCTGTGGAGCTCATAGTCCAGCATGGCCGAGGACTCAGGGTCGCGGGGCAGCTTCCGGCTGGACAGCGTGGGGAAGTAATCCTGCTTGCCGTCCACCGCCGTGCCGATGAAGAGCTTGCCGTCCTCCCCCTCGGAGCGCACGATCACTCCGTACATGGTGCCGGTCTTGTTGACGCTGGACAAGTAGTGCTCCTTCTTGTGGGATGGCTCCACCAAGATGAAGAGGTCATCGAGACGCAGCAGCTTGCAGACGCCCTGGTAGAGGCTGCCACAGGCCAGCAGGCGGTTCTCGGAGTAGTCGATGATGAGCAGCTTGTTGACGTTGTTGGTAAGGGTGAGCACCTCGCTGCAGGGCTGCACAATCAGGGGCGGGTAGCAAGACTTGTTGTCCTCCTCCGGCCCTGTCTTGTGAGCCACCTGGATGGTCAGGTTGCCCGTTAGCTTGTAGACCCGGTTGATGGCCCCCACATACACCGCCCCTGTCCCGCGGTGCACAGTCAAGTGATTGAAGGTCCAGTCTCGGTTCTCCGAGTGGAAGGTGCTGAACTGAGGCATGCCGGCTGCTGGGGGGGCCAGCAGCACCCAAACCACTGAGAGTAGGACCACAGACCGGCTATCAATCTGTGAGGCCCATGGCCAGGGCCTCCTCTGTTCCATCCTGAGAGGGGCAGAGTGGAGGAGTCCACTCCTCCGTGTTCTTCTACTCCACTTTCCTGGCTTGGTCCTCACATGGTTCTGGAAAACACAAGGCAGAGTGAGTGGTCAGACTGACAATAAGTTGCAGGGGAAGTGAATTGGATTGCTTGACCCAGGGTCCCAGCCCTGGCTAGCTCTATGAGTCTCTTCCTTCTGTATGTCAGTTTTTCTATTTTTAACATACTTTTTCCCTCTTAGGGATGTTCAGGGAATCCTATTATCTATTTTGGTCTCCAGCCTTTACGCTGTAAAATACTTTTTTTTTTTTTAACTTTACAAAGCATCTCTATTTCTGTCCTCTGAAGACATCGTTTTATCTCTCAGAGAGGTTAAAAGACTGCTTAAGTTCACCCAGCCAGTCAATGCCCATGTCAAGACTGAAGCCAGTTTTCCCCACCCAATTGTCAGGTCTTACCCCAGGCGAGTAGGCATCTCTCCTGGTTTTTAAAAGCTTGTTAGGAAGCCCTCCTCCCTCCTGTTCTCCTAAGAGTCTGATATCACAAATAAAATTCCTTCTTATTTCAGACTCCCATTGCCTCACACTGCTGTGCTTTTTTACTTTCACCCTGAGTGACGATGGTGCCCCTCGGCCTCTTCTCCAGAAAGGAGCACCCCCGATCTTTAGCTGTTAAAACTCGTTAGGAAGGGAAAATATGCTGTACCCAGTAAGACTGGGATTCTCATAAGTGCCGTTCAAGAGCCTGAAAAGCCTTCAAGGGAAGGTTAGCCAACTCCTATCCCTTTGACTAGAGAATGTGCAGCCACTGCCTCCCAGGAGCTGGGTGGCCAGGTCCTGGGGACACTTTCAACTTCTCAGCAGGTGGAAACACGGAGAGCTGGCCTTGTTAAAGGGTCTGGCTATCTGGGTCCAGCTCCAGTCGCCTGGGATAGGAGCTCTGGGTTGGGAACATGCGAGGAATAGCAGAGAGAGGCAAGCTGAGATCAGTCTCATCCAGCCACACAGAGGCCTCCCAAGTGCTCAGGCATCCGTGAAATCAACACTGGGCCCCAGTGGCCATGCCCCAAGCCCTGTCTCCAGCCCTGACTGCTTGACTCCTGTCTGCATTCCAAGGAAGCTGCCCAGAGAGCTGGGTAGGGCTCCAGAGGACAGCCTGCAGAGACAGTCCCCCACCCCAGGCAAGAGGGTGGGAGGGCAGAGAGTGGAGCCAGTGGTGATCACGCTGTTCCTGACTTTCAGGGAGAGGGACTGTGGCTGCATGGCAGCAGCACCAGGAGGAGGAAGCAGTGAGCCGTGTGGCAGAGAGATCTTTTCTCCAGCTGGACAGATCACCCGGCAACCTCCTCAGACAAGTCCAGACAGAACTCTGGGCACAGGAGGAGGCAGGAATGGAAATGGTCAAGCAGGGGATGGGGGATTTGCTCTGAGGCAGCTTAGGAGAGCCCAATCTGTCCCTTCTATTCCGCAATCTGGCTGGACTGGGTTGGCAGTAGAACAGACACCACTTTGAGAATCCCTACCAGTTTTTTTCTGTATGTATTTAGAAATTCCTCTTCCTGCTCCTCAACTTTGTATCCGAGACCTGGCAGCCACCATGGTGCCAGGGGAGGTCCCACCTAACTGCTCCCTCTAACTAGACTCCACCGGGGTGTTTTGGGGTGACTCAGGAGGCCTCGTGCTTCCTTGGAAAGAGGAAGGCAGCAGGAGACTCAGGCTGACCTCAGCTACTCCGCCACAGCCCTTCCGGCCCCACGCGCACACACCACACCGGCAAAGGCTCCCAATAGACACAGCTTTCGGTTTGAAAACCAGAAGTTATTTTTAGCTATGTCCTGAGGCCGGTAGCAGGACGTGAATTCCTCAAGAGGAGCTGCGGAAAGGAAATAACAGAATCCTCAAATTCTCCAGCTGGACAGGGAATTGCAAGAGATGGTTCTTTGTAAATCTCTCTCCCTGGGTAGGAAAGTTTCTTTAGCTACAGGTGGAGAGTAGTGCCCCACCAGGAGTGGTGAGAAGGAGGCTAATTGTCAGCACACTGTGCCTGGGGTTTTGCATTCAGGAAAGTGTTCTCTGAAACACAACTGCACTGAATTTGTGCAGAGGATAATCCTGCTTTCTCTACAACATACATGCACATAGGTGTTTAGCTTGTGTGTGTGCAGGGGAGGGGTCCTGGTAGTGGAGCTAATATCAAAGAACATGTGTGAGGTTAAAATCAATCATCTCACCTCCCTTCAGAGTATCCTCTCAAGATATAGCTTAAATAGTGAGTGGCTTTTGTTGTTAGAATTGGGAACAAGTTTGGGACCTTGGGCAACTCGCACCTCATCTCCCTTTCTGGTAGAATGGGGATAATTACAGTACCTAGCTCTCTGGACCTCATGAAAGTTAATGTGATAATGTGGAGAGAGCTTAGCATGGCTGCTGATACACAATGAGCACTTCACTCTTATTAGTTGTTATTATTATCATTGAAAGCTCCCAGAGAAACAGCACTTTAGAAATCCTGCCAGAGCGCTCCTTCTCTTTTTGATTATATTTATTCTTCCTTCCCATGGGATGAGCATTATGAGTGGATCTTGGCTCCACACCCCTCCCTGACCAGGGTCAGAGCTCAATCTGGGAAGCAGGTGGCAGGAAAAGGGAAGAGACTCAAGATGATCACCTCTGTCATACTACTTGCACCAGTCCCAATATAGCCTCACCATAGACTTCAGGGAGGCTGGTAGAAGTGCAGGACCATGGCAGCTGGACTGAGAATAGGACACTTGGCCTGATGACTAGAAAGCATGGAGTCACAGGGCAGGAGGAAGACTGGAACCCTGAGTTAATCTGTGCCTGTTGTCATTCATGAATTGTACCTGTGGCTTTAGACTGATCTAGCATCTCCCTGAGCCCTATTTCTTGATCTTAAAACAGAGTATGTTGAATTAGTCAGTCTGTAAGATTTCTTCTTCCAGATGAAATGAGGACTTGAGGCCTGGTTCCTTTAGTGCCTGGAGTCTCAGATTCCGGTAGCAGCTACAGTCCTTCTCTCCTACCTGGTGAGGCTTATTAGGCTAGGTGTCCTCAACAGATGGCTACAGTTTGCCCCTTTTCCTCTCACCCCTCTAGCAGCATCTGTTCTGGGACACTCTGGTGCTGGTGACCAGCCAGGGAATGCATCCCACAGGGCCCAGTGACCACCCACTCTGGGACAGCTGTTGCTCAACATAGAATAGCCAAGAGGAGGGATGCTCTCGTGCTGTGGCGGGTGGAGGGGAGGTTTGCAACCCACCTTGTTGAGTATGAGCTTCACAAGGACAGTGATTGCAAGACCAAGAAAGAACCTCCTTATTACCATGCCAGAATTGATGTTATCAAGTGAGTCTTCTAAAACAAGGCTCCAGGGACAAGTGTCAGGCCTCCTGTGTGAGTTCAGAGTCAGTGAAAGGATGCCCACCTTAGTGTCTTTGATGCATGATGGTCACAGTTAAGTGCAGGAGCTCTGGATTTAGATGCTGAGATTCAAACAGAGCTATAGCTTTGTAAACGTGGTCAAGGTACTTGGCCATTCTGTGAGGCCATCTCACTGCCTATCAAAATGGGTTTAGTACCAGCATCTGCCATGCAGGATTATTAGGATGAAATCAATGAACATCTATAAAGAGCTTAGAACAGTGCCCAACCCATTTTAAGTGTTCAGGATATACTAGCTTTTATTATTAGCAAGTATGTGTTGATATTTCCAGTTCCTCTCCTCCATCCACCCCATGATCTGTCTTAGAATGAATTTCCATCCTCAGTTTGGTAAAAGCCAGGGAACATACATCATGACCTCATGCACCTAGCATTTCCTCGTAACCCCTATTTTCTGCTAGCACCCGCCTCAGGGTTTTCTTTTTAATAACGATGCCCTCTTCGATCACATCTTCTCTCTCTGTTTAGCTTATGAAGTCACTTGTCACATGCATTCTCAAGAGCTGAAACTGGCCTAGCTTCTGTTTTCTATCAACTTCCCTCTCCCCCACGGCTATTCTCAAACCAGGACATGCTGCTTTGGGACTCTCACCTTATCTGCAGAGCCTCCCATTACATCTTAGAATGCTCCCCATGCCAAGGAGAAGGCATGTTTGCCTCTTTGGGAAGCAAATGCCATTAAATATTTTATTGGGAGGGCCTGATGACACCATCTCCCTCTCAGGATCCAGGAGGCAGGTGTTGGTGACAGCCAGTGAAGCCATCTGATCCCTTCCTGATCAGCTGCTGCAGGCATCAGGGGCAAAGCACAGGGGAAATGACAATCAGCCATTTGCAGTTCAGCTCAGTAGAAGGTTCTCTCTGCCACCCTGTTCTGAAGCTTTTCAGAAGGTCTAGGTGTCGGTGTTCCACGTTTTACTCATTGGGAATGGAGCTGGGGGCAGAGTAGGGCTCAGAGTTGGATACAGTTCTGCCAGATTGAGCTACAAGTTCACACCTTGGGACCCACCTGTAGACCCACCATCACCACTCCCTCCATTGCCATCACCGCTGTCACCACCATCATCTTCTCCAGCACCATCAAAATGGTAGCAGTAAAGGTGCCGATTACTATTACTGCACTTATGGGTGGGGACCAAAGCCAGGATCCTGAGGAGCCAGATGGAGATGGGGAAAACTCAGCATGAAAATGAGGGCAGAGAGATCAGAGAAGAGTTGGAAGCTGCTCCTGGAACCCACGGACCTCCTGCTTCTCTGTGGCACAGGGAAGTCCATCGTCTTCCTGGCTCGCCTTTCTAACTAGCTGTGCCTCTGAGCAGGACTTTGGGGGGTGGGTGCTGGATGGTTAGGAGATTACTCCAACTCACCACTTTTATTTTTTCAGATGAGGAAATCAAAGTCTGTAGAAAGAAAAATCAATTGTTCAAGGTGACTCAGAATGAGTCAGGGACAAGTTGCAATCAGAACCCAGACCTTTGTGACAAGAAATCTGGGACTTACTTCCTCCATCCTAGGTGGAAGGGTCCTGGGAGGTGGCTGTCCTGTCAGGGCAAAAAAAGGTGCCTTTGATGGTGGCTCCAAGTGAGGGTGGCACTCACTGGGCCTGCACTGGGAGATGGCA